AGTGTGTGTGTGTGTGTGTGTGTGTGTGTGTGTGTGTGTGTGTGTGTGTGTGTGTGTGTGTGTGTGTGTGTGTGTGTGTGTGTGTGTGTGTACGCATTCATATATGTATATACAATAAATTTATATTAATATCAATTAAAGGTTATTTTAGTAATATAAAATTAATAATCGCCAATTAATTTCGCTCCGTTTCATCCATTATTGAAAACGCGCGAGAGAAGACGAGAGCTTTTTCATTTTTTTTTTTAATGACAGAGTTCAAATTCTGTCTCCTTAAATTTGTTTTCAAATCATATATTATCTGTTAACTGTATTAAAAACAAAAACAAAATTTATGTAACGACGATTTGTGCTTATTAACATCGTTAAATCCAGCCATGCTGAAAATGAATCTGTCGAGTGATTCCTTATACGATGCGGGGTGGCGATGCCGTCGGTTTCTGTCAGCGCGCGAAATTGTACGATCGTACGAAGCTCGCAAAAAGAACGGTAAAGCTTCCAACTTACGAGTCAAACGGCGGCGGAACAAGATGAAGGTGGAAAAAGCGTTGAAAAAAGCGACTGCGTGATGTATTTCTTTGGAACTGCTTGGATTTTGCTCTAGACGCAAAACGTCCACGACGTGCTCCGACGTTCTCAGAGCTCGCTCCTCGTCGTTACTGCGTTCGCGAGTGAGTTTGTGAGCGAGACACGCACGCGGCGCGCGCTTGACACAGGTGCGCTTCTACGAGGAGAGCGAGGAGGCCCCTGTCGTTACTACTCTTCGTCGTCGTCGTCGTCGTCGTCGTCGTCGTCGTCGTTGGAACTGCCGCCTAGTAGCGTAATATCGAAGCTTCAGTTTTATCCAAGAACCGTCAAATATTAACTGATGATGATTAGAAAGCGACTATTTGCGACTGTTGTGTTGTACCGCGACTCAGACTTCTCTTCTATGGGCGCCATGTTGGTACCGGTACTTCCGAACTGCCCGTTATTGCACTTGTCGGTTCCATAGCACATTATAAATGATGATAACAATAATATCTTTTAAGAATAATCGAGATAAGCGGTTGATATATTAGAGTATTTTATATTATATTATATTATCTAATTACATATAGATAGATACTCTAATTAGGTACTTTAATTAGGTTATATATTAGCGTATCTAAAAAAAGAGAAAATTTGCATTTATATAATTTGCATTTATATTATTATTCATTTATCAATGAGTAAAACAATTTTAATATTTTACAAATGCAATTTTTGATAATACTAAAAGCATCTAAATTTCCATTTAGATTATTGGATAATCTGAGAATAATTATTATATGATATTTGTGAAATTTTAGTGAAGGGAATCTATTTATTAGATGGCCTATTTATAGATCTGAAGGTCTAACGTTATATTAAATTCGATCTCGTAATATTTGATTTTATTAAACAAAAATAAAAATAATAAATCAAATTAATTAAACGATATAAATAATATAATTTTAGACACACACATATCTCTATGTTGGTTACAGATCGATCTAATTATTTCTTATGTTCATAATTTGTAAAAACAATTCCACATGGAAAGCGTTCAACAGCGTTCGTCTAAAAAGATTCACCGTGAAATTTCGTAAATTTTTCGAATCTTATAAACAATTTAATAAAACACAGAGCAACAGCTAAGTAAAAGAAAAATGCTAACATCCGAATTAAAATTACAAAACAATCTCTTGAAACAGAGGAAAATTTAATATTTCGTAATACTTATGAATATTACGAAAAAAATTTTTCAGTATATTCGGTATTATTCACAATTTATTATCCTTATTTCAGGTTATTTTCGTAGAGCTCCTTGACGAGGGATCGGTTTACCTTACCAGGTACACCTATCACACTTATCATTTTGCCGGAGGGAGGGGAACAAAGTTTGAAGGCGGAGGGTTGTAGTCATGGTTACAGAGCATACATTGGAGTACTGCTGATAAGAGGATCAGGTGAGACGTTCTAATAAGGCAACGATCCAACAAGCATTATTGCCCCAGATGCAGTGGCGTAATCGAGATTCATGATACATAAAAATATTTCAAACAACAATTACATATTTTAGAGCTATTCAATGCCAAATGTTTTTAAATTTACAAATAACATAATTTATATACTTTAAAATTTCAGTAAATGTTCAGTTTATAATGTAAGACAAAATAAAGCCACTTCTATTTCGCTTTTATTTAAAATCATAGAATTTTGGAAAAATTTTTATAACGATGGAAACAAATATTAATCAAGACTTCCAAGAAAGTATATTTAAATAAAAATAAAAATTTAATTCATAAAAATTAAATGTACTTTATGAATATAATTTATCTTACATTTAATTTACGCAGCAGTTGAATATTAAAGCTTATGGATTACGCCATTGCAAGACAATGCATACGTGGCTACAAAGATTAGCCAACACAGTGCATTATCACCGAAAATACACAAGGATGAACCTTCTTTCGGTCGTTCATTGACTTCTCTCATCAACTGGATGTTACAGACAGACGGTGTTAAATGTATGTATGTAATAGATAATCTATTTTGATAAAAATATGTTGTCTTTTAACTAACACAATAAATGGAATTCTAAGAAAAAATATAGATGTCTTATTATTATTATAAACAGCGATTATATATAAACAATGCATACTGAATAAATCTTTTGCAATCCATTATAAAACAT